TTTCTTTCTTTCTTTCTTTTTTCTTTCTTTCTTTCTTTTTTCTTTCTTTCTTTCTTTCTTTCTTTTTTTCTTTCTTTCTTTCTTTCTTTCTTTCTTTTTTTCTTTCTTTCTTTCTCATACCTCTCTGTCTCTTTATTTCATGTCCCTTCAGGACGTGGGCAATCTTTGTTCCTTTAAATTGCTCGTTTACATCTCCTGTCTGTGAAATACCTTTTCCTCCATGCATTTGCTAAATAGATGACGCACTGTTCTACTCTATTTATCTTGTATTCGAAACATCCTGTAAATCAAGTCTCCCCAAAACGATCAATATCAAACCCTGGGGTGGGGGGAATCGAAAAAGTGAAAAAGAGATTGTTAAAGGCCTGAAAGTTAAAGAGGTTCAATGACCTATGAATATTGACTGATTGATTTGTTTTCTATGATCTATTAACCAATTGCAGGTTATTTAAAGACAGAATTTTTTTTTCAGATTGTACGAATATTTTTGAGATAATAATTGTTTAGTGAAAGACTTACAAATTAACCTAAAGCTGGTGGGAGAAGAGGTCCATTCATACCTTTCCCAAGTGAAATGACAATAAGCTAGATCCGCGTCCTGGGTATGACGATAAACTACATCAGGCAGCAAGGCCTCTAATCAGAAGCTTTTGAGAAATGTCATTGCTGATTTACGCTGACTTGGTATCATCTGTTAGGATCCCAGCTTTGGGTAAATAGTTAACCCCCAAATTAAGGTCAAACACTATTAGTCAAGTGTAAATAAGTGTAAAAATAGGTTTTAATACCAGCAATACATTTTTGAAAAAATGAATATTACCAGCAACAAAAATGTCTGCGATATTTGAGGATAACAAAGATAAAGGAATATAACGAATCCAACTGGAATTGGAACTCGGCTCTCCGATTTTCAATTCGGAGCCATTATCTATTACACCAACCGCACATCCAAGATTACAGCATCTGGTATTTCAAAGCGGTCACCTATCTTGGTACTGAACAGGCTCGACGTTGCTTAACTTTTGTGAAGGTACTGGAACCAGTGCTTCGTGATGTGACCGTAAGCCTGTCCTATGAATAAAACTCACCAATTTCCAAACTAAATTTTTGTTTCTGTTCATCAGTCATTTCCTCACTATTAATGACTTATTTTCATGTCTTTATTATTTGCGGTATTTTTTGCGAAGTGCTTTTATATTATTATTATTATTATTATTATTATTATTATTATTATTATTATTATTTTATTTCCTTTGATTTCTGGTGTGTACTTATTTCTTTCAGGGTGCCGGCTAGAGACCTAAGGTTAGAAATGGCATCATGACATTTTCCACTGACCAATTAAAAAAAAAAAAACACTTATTTTACATAGATAAAGCCCTTCGTAGGGTGTGGGCTGTACTCGTGAGAACATTTTTTTTGTATTTCTTTAAGGCATGGGTTTCCAGGAATCCCTTGAATGAGTCTACTGGAGTCATTTATAACCAATCTGAGGGCTCCAACTACAACAGGGATTGTTGATGTTCCCATGTGCTACATTTTTGAGATTTCAATATTTTAGTATTTATACTTGATAATTTCTAGTTAACAAGCATTGGGCCTGTGCAGCAAGGATAAAACCTTCAGTTTCAGCATTTAACCCTGAATTATTATTTCTTTGGATTTCTGTTGTATACACATTTCCTTCCGCGTCCCAACCTAAGGTCAGAAATGGCTTCATGAAAAAAAACGAAAAAAAAAAACAACCTAGGACTACATACGCTTTGCATAAATAAAGCTTTCGTAATTTGTGAGCTACATTTGTGAGTACAATT